AGATCCTCCAGGCTCAACCTCCCCAGCTTTGGAGATCGAACTGGGGTCCTTGAGCTTGCCAGATAGGTGCTTATACCTCTGAGCTATCTCTTTGGCCCCAAAAATCTATTAAATTCTGTTTTGTTTTGTTTTTTTTTGCTCTGAATGCCCTCTGGGGTGGTTTGGCTGGCTGGAGTGCTGTGGGGATCGAACTACAGCAACCTGAGGCTGACAGCTTTGTGGAAGCAGCCACTTAAAGAACTGAGCTACGGCCAGGCCCCCGAGGAATATGCTGTAATGTGAGAAAAAAACAGTAGCTGATGAGGACTGACTGTCACACGGACTCAAGAAAGGGTCCATTTCAATGAAGGAGCCCCATGATGTGCTGGCAGGAGCCAACCCTTAAGCCTATCATGGGCCAGGAGGACCACGCCATGGGCATCCACCTCAGTGAGCCAGAAAACTGGGCTCTTTGTGCTCAGCTTCCTCTGTCTGCCACAGCAGTCTGCAGCTATGCCACAGCTTCTCTCCCTGGGTCTTTTTACTTGGTTAGAAATTAAACTTTGTGTGTGTGTGTGTGTGTGTGTGTGTGTGTGTGGTACTGAGTATTGAACTCAGGACCTTGGTACTTGCCAGGCAGGCGCTCATGCCACTGAGCTATAACCCTGGCCCCAAACAAATTTTTTTTAAAGAATCACAGTGGCAACAAAAATAGGAGAACAAGGGGCTGGAGAGATGGGTCAGTAGAATAAGTGCTTGAATGGCAAGCGCAAGGGCCTGAGTTTAATCCCCGGTTCCACCAAAAAAAATTTTAAACATGTCTTTAAAAAAAAAGGAGAACAAAACACGGTAACAAAATGTATGCAAGGTTTATATGTGGAAAACTAAAACACTGGTGATAAAACTCAAAGATCTAAATAAACAAAGAGATGTATCACATTTACAGAAAGAAAGACTTGATTGTGTTCAGATATTAATCTCCCTAAAATCATCCTGAACAATTCTACTAGACGAAACACTCTACTTAATTTAACTGCAGCACGGTTTCAGGGGCAGAAATTGGTCAACTGTTTTTAAAATAGAAAAACTAAAAAGTAAAAACGATTTTTTAAAAAGAACGAATCTAAAACATGCATGCTAATTTTAAGATTTACTGTAAAGCTATTGTACGCAGGGTGGTGTGGCACCTGTGAAAAGGTAGACACACAGATACAGAACAGAAGAGAGTCCAAAATCAGACTCATGAATATGGTTAATTTATTTTTACTAAGATGACAAGAAATTTGAGGCCAGCCTGATAGCTCAGCAGACTGAAGTGCCTGCTTCGGTGGAGCACAGTGGCTGGGGTTCCACCCGTGGCCTGCCACGCCGGCTCCGCCCACAGGGTGTATTCAGACTGGGCATGGTAGCACGTGCCTGTAATTCCAACACTTGGAAGGCTGAAAACACAGGTGGATCAATATGAGTGCCATCTACATAGTGAGACCCTATAGACTCTGTCCTAAATACAGGGGGGAAAAAAAAGATGACAAGAAATTCAACAGAGGGGCTGGAGAGATGGCTCAGTGGTCTAAAGCACCTACTTAGAACAAGCTT